GAGGGAACGTGAGTGGGTACGGGGGCACGGCTGCCACCCTGTGAGGGAACGTGAGTGGGTACGGGGGCACGGCTGCCTGAGAGGGAATGTGAGTGGGAATCGGGACATAGCTGCCACCATGAAGTGGCCAAGTCATAGGACAGAAAGTTAAGGCAGGCAAGTCTCTGAATTCAAGGAACTGTTAACAGACAAGAGGGCCATGACAAGAGCTGTGCCAGACGAGACAAAAGGGTCGGGCACAAGAGAAGAAGACAGACAGACAAAGAAGGCGCCGTGGGGGGAAGCGCTGAGCAGCCCCTGAAGATGTGGTGGGGTCAGGGCTCCTTCAAGGCAGGGCACAGGCTCTGAGGCAGGTGTTCAGACACAGGAGGCTGCAAGCAGGGTGGAGTGACTGACTCATGATGGGTAAGGTGGGGAGAGTGGAGATGAAATAAGCCATTCGCTCTCTCCTTCATCCAGCACATGGCCGTGGGGGACTTACGGTGTGCCAGCACTGAACTATGGCAAGCAGTCTCCGCTCTCAAGGAAATGGTGGTCGTGTGGGGCAGGGAGGGACCGGCTCACATACGCCCCTGAAGGTCAGGCTGTGGACCGTGCTGCTCAGACCTGTGTGTGGCTGGATTCCTCTGACGGCAGCATGGAGGGGCCCTGCAGGGGCGCGGCTCCACAGGGATCAGCAGTGGTGTTTCCCAGCATCTGTGATACCACCGGTATTCCTGCCCAGCCCCACCCCTGCATGTATGGAGGACAAATGGGCAAGTTGAGGCGATGGGGGGTGGGGGTGGGGTGGTGCCAGAGGGCACGCTTGGGCAGGCAGGGGCTAGATGCCAAGCCAAGGGTGGGGGACATGACTGGGTGGGTATTTCATGAGCCAAAGTATACAGTGCACAAAAGGTGGCACTGAGGCTGTTGTTGGCCTGATGGTGACTGACCCAAGTGCCCGCTGTGACTATTACAGCTCCATGTGGCAAGCACCAGAGATGGGCAATCAAAAGCCTAGACATTGGTGCCAGATGGAAGGTTCAGAGTTTCAAGTACGGCTCAGCCAGGGGATTGCCAGAGGCTTGAACAATTTCTTTAGGTTCCCTGAACCCCAGAACCTCCATGGTAATATAAGGGACAATAACAGTGGGGCTAAAACTGCTACCTGCCTGGGAGATAGCTTACTTTTTTTTGTTGTTGTTGCAGTTTTTGGCCAGGGCAGGTTTGAACCCGCCACCTCCGGTATATGGGGCTGGCGCTCTACTCCTTGAGCCACAGGCACTGCCCCCTGGAGTTAGTTTAACAACAAAGAAACATCACAAAGTGGTGATACCTTCAGAGTTACACCTATCACGTTGAGGGCCTCCTTCACCTGAGGATGACTTGTGCACTGGGCAAGCTCTTCACATATCCAAACGCCGAGGGAGCAGATGGAGATGCATCTTTTCAAAAAGAAGAAAAAGAAAGAAAATCCTCATGAAACTTTTCACATTTTCTTGGAATTTCAAAATTAAAAAAATATTCCAAATCTCTTAAAACTAAACGACAAAAGTGATAGATATATATTAACAGAATGTCTTGAGGGAAAATATAAGGCACTCTCAAGTGGTCAGTTTTCGGGACAAACAGAAACAGTGATAATGGTTCGGTACTTAAGTATCTACTAAGACAAATGACATGTTTTCTGTTAATTGTCCTAGCTCATATATCCCTTATTTTTATTGGAACTAATCTGTTATTCCATCTTATTGTTTCAAGGTATTTTTGAGGAATAAAAAACATACATCTTAGAAAACTGCTGAAAATTGAGTTTGTAACTGTTTTCCTTACAATAACATGCATAAGACTTACCACAAATATGAGACAAACCTTAGATTTGCATACAACTTCCAAAATAAATTGCACTGTTATTTCTTCTAAACAATGTGGTAGGACAAGTTATTCTTCAAAGAAAACCGACAATAACATACACATTTCTATTCTTTTCTTTTTTTTTTTTTCTTTTGAGACAAAGTCTCACTTTGTCACCCGTGGTAGAGTGCTGTGGTGTCACAGCTCACAGCAACCTCAAACTCCTGGGCTTAAGCAATTCTCTTGCCTCAACCTCCCAAGTAGCTGGGACTACAGGTGCCTGCCACAACGTCTGGCTATTTTTTCTTGTTGTTGCAGTTGTCATTGTTGCTTCAGCTGGCCTGGGACAGGTTCAAACCCACCAGCCTCAGTGTACATGGCTTGTGCTGTAACCACTGTGCTATGGGTGCCAAGCCTTCTGTTCTATTTTTAACTCCATAGAAATCTGACTGGCTTTCTATACTAAATAAAAGGACAAGGAAGATGAATTGTCAAGAAGTATTGATGATTTGAATGTGGTAGATACAGGAAAAAGGAAGACATTAATAAGAGTTTTTCCCTAAGGCCTGGGTAGATGGTGGCACCATTTGCTGAGATGAAATCAGAGGGACAGTCAGGCTCTGGGGGAGGGGGAGCCAGAGGACAGACTTAAGGGTTCAGTTATGTTTGTGTTAAGTTTGGACAGATTAAGGCATTCAAGTGAGATGTCAAGTACATAAACCTGAATCTACAAGGGGTTCACTGACGGGGCCAGGTAAATAAACTGGGAATTGTTAGCAAGAAGGTGGTGTTTAAAGGCTGGTTAGAACGGGTAAGAGTGCCCAGGAAGTCACAGAGAAAGGACAGGCCGCGCCCTAAACCCTACGGTGCTCTAACTCAGAATGTGGTAGAGGAGGGGAGTTGCAGGGAGGCAGGCACCAGACCAGGAGGTGCGTTCTAAGGAACAGCACTGTTCAGGAAGGGGGTAAGGAGAGACTGCTGAGAATGGGTAAGCACGCATGTCAACATCCTAGGACAGCCTTTGCAAGAACTAAAAGGGGGGTGGGGTGGTCTATGGCTTCTTAAAGAAAACTGAAGTAGTAAATATAATGTAGAAGAGAGAGAGGGAGGGAGAAGGAGAGAGAGAGAGAATGGGGGGGGAATGAAAGATAAAGGAGAAACAAAAAACATACCAAGAAAACCTAATCGAAAGTCAATTATAACCCCAAAGAATTACATCCAAATAGAGCAGTAATTATTAACAAATGTAAATGAACTGAAGCTTAAATTAAAAAATAAAAGATCAGGCCAGGTGCTATGGGTCACACTTGTAATCCCAGCACTCTGGGAGGCCAAGGCAGGAGGATCACTTAAACTCTAGAGTTCAAAACCAACCTCAGCAAGAGCAAGAACAAAAAATTAGCAGGCATTGTGGCCTGTGGCTATAGTCTCAGCTACTTTGGAGGCTGAGGCAGGAGGATCGCTTGAGCCCTGGAGTCTGAGGTTGTCATGAGCTACAATGATGCCACTGCCAGGGTGGCAGGGTAAGAGTCTGTCTCCACATAAATAAATATCAGATAAGTTTTGGCAAAGACATCCAAAGGAAAAGAATATAGAAAGGCTAATTTAAAAGAATGGCTGATTTAATAGGAGTACTATAAAAAGAGCTAAATCAGTATCAAAGTGGTCTTTAAGATAAAATAATCCTTAGAAATAAAAAGGGTTGCTACAAAGTATTAATGTAAAAGATTCACTACAGAAATAGGACAATTCTAAACTCCATGTAACCAATCACAGATATATAAAGCAAAATGTGACAGATATACTAGGCGACAGATAAATCTACCACAATCGTGTAAGATTTTAACAGTTAGCAAGCTGATGAAAAGTATTAACTTGGATACAGACTATTTGAAGCATGTGATTAAAACATTTTAATCTAACGGACACACCTAGAACACTGTGCCCATCAATTAAAGAATAGTACATACATTCTTTTCAGCATATTTGGTACATTTCCCCAAACTGACTACATATTGGGCATAAACTAAACCTTAATAATGTTTTGATTTACAATGTCATCAACTAAGACATCAGTAACAAAAACACAAATATTAACAGAGATAACCATATGTTTGGAAATTAAGAAATATACTTGTAACTAACTCCTGACTCAATGGAAGAATCATAATGAAAAGTAGAAAAAAAACTGGAATGGAAAAATATTACATATCAAAATGTACAAAATTCAGATAAAGTAGCACCTAGAAATAAACATATAGTCTTAAATGTTCATATTAATAAAGGCTGAGAATTAGAATACATAAATATTCAACCGAAAAAGTAAGAAGAAAGCTGAGTGCAAAGAAGGCAGAAGACAAAATCAATGAACAGAAAGTTGGAACTAGAAACAGACAGAGAGCAGAGAGGCTGAAAGGACAGCAGTCTGATCTCTGAAAAGACTAACAAGTTCACAGATCTCTGGCAGGACTAGTTAAAAAATCCAAGAATACACAAGAAGTGTCAGAGATTAACAAGTAGATATAATGACAGAAGTGAAGACATAAAAGGGGGTGAGACAACTCACACAACTAACATACTCTAAAACTTAGGTAAAATGGACAAATTCCTAGAGAGGTTTGGGTCATCAAAACTGCCAAACAAAAAACAGAAGGAAAAAAACGTTAATACTACAAAAATTATCGAAGAGAATGAGGTAGTGGTTAAGCTTCTCACAGAGAAAATCCCAGACCCAGACAGTCTCACCATCAAGGCCTACTAAAACACACAAGAATATTAATCTGATTTTGTAGAGACTCTTTCTGAGGGCGGTGCCTGTGCCTCAAAAGAGTAGGGTGCAGGCCCCATATGCCACAGGTGGTGGGTTCAAACCCAGCCCCGGCCAAAACTGCAAAAAAAAAGAAACTCTTTCTGAATAAAATAGTACTTAACTCAATTTTGTGAGAGTATATAACCTCATAACCAAACCTGGCAAGGGGAAAATGGGGAAGGGACATTATAGGCCATCCAACTCCCTCCCTGTCAAAAATACTATCTAAGCCAGATCCAGTACCACACAAACCGAGCTGGGTTAAACCCAAAATGCAAGGTTAGTTTAATATTAGCAAACTGACAGTGAATAGGAATAGAAGATTAGGAAATTTCGGCTAAATAGAAGATTAGGAAATTTCGGCTAAACTGTCCACTGAGGGTAACCAAGGAAGACAAAACACAAAATAAAAAAAAAAATCTTAAAATCAAAAAAGAGTTAACAAGATGGTGCCGGGTGCCGGGCTCCTGTCTTGGAAGGAGCCAATCCCCCAGGCGGCAGCAAGACGCCGAGCTGGGCTCTGGTGTCTTTACGGGAGTTGGAAGCGGAGGACCAAGACAGGTGAACTCTCCATCAGTGTTCCCAGCCTGCGGCTTCGTGCTGGGAGAAGTAAAGGTTTTCATCATATAAGTGATCCAGAAAACCTTACTTCTTGACCATACACTTCTAGTAACCTCAGATGACTGGCAGGAGCAACCAAAATGTTTCCAGATGCTTCAAAATTTATCTATGGGGGTACAAAATCCTTATTGGTTGAGAACTCCTACCCTACACATATGCCATTTTGATTAATTTTGGGCTTATACTTCCATTTTCTTTCTTATAGAAAGTATCAGGGCACATATGTATATATTTGTAATACTGCTTTCCTTTACACAAAAGGTAGTATATTATGCATAACTTCTGCAGCTTGCTATGTTCACTTAATAATGATGCCTTTGGAAAGAGTTAAGGAAAGATGTTCCCAACATAATTCTTCGTATGCTTTTTCTTATGTGTCAGAGTCATGTGAAAGAGTGTTTTTAACATAAACTGCTCACACATAAATGTGTATCTCAAATTTCTAAAATAGTTTACCTCTTATTCAACATTTACCTTGCACATTCATTTGGTTCCTCTGTGGCATTCTTCAGCAAAATATTTATGAGGTAATGCTAAAAACACAAAATTAAGTAAAATAAAAACTTTGTGTCATGGTTGGTTTCCCACATGTTCTGACCACACTGCAGGCAGCCAGGAGCTGCCGGGGACCAGGGAGCTTGTCCACCAGAGAGAACCTGGAGGAAGGAGGAAGCCTGGGCTGGGAGGAGCAGCCTGACAGAGGCCTCCACAGGCCCTCCCTGGGCCACTAAGCGAGCTAGAGAAGAGCGCCTCTAGTTTACAATGAAAACACTGCAAACCAAATGAGACTTTCAGATAGGAAAATCCTGGTCTGCTTTTTCTTTAATTAGATTATGTATTGTATGTCAAGTAACATATTGTAATCATGTATTACAGTTTGATTGATTCTAGGATTTTGAGAGCATTTCTGTTTGCCTCTAAGTTAGCTAAGGAGAGAACAAATGCTTACTTTTCTTCTCAGGCCAACAATAGAATTGAAAATTGAGTTTATTTCAATTATTTTTTATAAGTTAATTTGATGCACTAATGCAACATGATTCATAGTTAAGCTAATAAAATTATTATAAAGGATAATTCATTATGTAACTATGATCCCTAGGTGCGATAAATAGGTCTAATAAAAAACACCCAAGGGGCCCAGCTATAACATCTAACTGCAGTATGCTGTGAATCTAATACATAAGACGGCCTTGTAAAAATACCTACTGAAACATTTAAAAGATAGAACAAAATTTCAGGGACAAGTACATTAATGTAAAATAATAGAAGAGGTAACCACATAGCTAGAATTACCAATTTGAGAGCCAGTCAAATCTGTCATGTACCTTGACATCTTCAGTTCCCGTAACGATCTCATTCACCTCCGGCACTGACTGCAGCAAAGGGATCTCCCGGTAGGTATTTGGAAAGCAGACAAGCGAACCCAGGATGGTGAGAGCTTCTGAACGAGGTGCCTGCACACAGGAAGTGAGACACACATTTTCCTTTTTGTGAGTGAGAAAGTTTAGATAAGCAACAACTCGTTTACTCTTCATGGTCTTACGAGGGAGTCTTCGTAATTATTTTATCCTAGATGAGAAACATAAAATTAGGCTGAGTTACTTTTCCCCAGGTGAAGATTTAAGCAAGAGACGTTTGCCTAAATGAAAAAGCAAATTTACAAGGAATGGAAAATATACTTGGATATAAACAAGTGTTATGAAAACTGGTTTACAGATCGATTCAGAATTAGGATGTAAAAAGATTTGGTTATGACTATTTGACAGTGTTTTTGAGTTAATGTTCTCAATACAACAGGGTAAATGATATCAACATACTATTATTTTTGCTGTTAAGAACAATTAAGGAAAATGTATAAGAAAGTGCGATTGGAGGTAACCGTCAGAAGGCGGACAGAAAGAGAAGACACCATTTCCCAAATTTCCTGATGTCACCAAGAACTACTTTGCAAAATCACATAAAGTGAGATACTATCGAGGGAGAGACTGTAGTTACTTGTCCATTATGGAAATCAGGTATATATTAAAGGAAGCATTCTACTAGATTCCACCTCAGGTAACATGCACCAGCAGCTATGATAAGCAAAGAGCAGGTGCAGGACTATAAGTCTGTCATCCACCTACTCACCTGTGTGTCCATACACCCATCTGCCTATTGATTATTATGTGATAATTTGGAACAGACTGAAATTGCAACAACAATAATAAATCTTCCAAAAACAAACAAGTCCTGAATCAGATAGTTTTACAACAGAATTCTACCAAACCTTCAAAGAGGAGCTCATACCAATATTACAGAACCTATTTGAAAACGCAGAGACGGGGTTGGCATCTTCCTTTCTTCAGGACCCCAAGCGGTTCTCCTGCTCCCTTCTCTCACTCCCCGCCCATCTGCCCCCTCACTCCCTGCTCTCTGTTCTCTTCTTTCTCTCTTTCTCATCTCTTCCCCTCACTGTCTTCCCTCTCTCTAATACAAAATAAACATAAACTTTAATATCCTTAAAGAGAGAGAAGAAAAGAATCCTTCTCAACACATTCTACGAAGCAAATACCACCATGATATCAAATCCAGGAAGGACACACAAAAAGGAAAACTACAAACCAATATTGTCAGTGAATACTGATGCAAAAATAGTCTATAAAGTCCTAACAGACGGAATACGGCTACACATCAAAGATGCGTGTCGGCTCGGCGCCTATAGCTCAACCGGCTAAGGCGCCAGCCACGTACACCTAAGGTGGCGGGTTCGAATCCCCAGCCCGGACCCGCCAAACAACAATGACGGCTGCAAACAAAAAATAGCCGGGCGTTGTGGCGGGCGCCTGTGGTCCCAGCTACTTGGGAGGCGGAGGCAGGAGACTCGCTTGAGCCCAGGAGTTGGAGGTTGCTGTGAGCTGTAATGCCACAGCACTCTACCCAGGGGGACAGCTTGAGGCTCTGTCTCAAAAAAAAAAAAAAAAAAAAGATGCGTGTCTACGTCATGATCCGGTGGGCTTTAGTTACTGCAGGGATGCAAGGCTGGTTCAGATATGTAAATTCATGAATGTAATTCACCATATAATAGAACCAAAAACAAAGACCATGCTCTCAATAGATACAACAAAAGCATTTGAGAAAATTCAGCAACCTTTTCTGACAAGAACACTTAAGAAAATAGGCATATGGCTCAGCACCCGTAGCTCAGTGGTTACAGCACTAGCCACGTACACCGAGGCTGTTGGGTTCAAACCTGGCCCAGGCCAGCTACACACCAATGACAACTACAACAAAAAAATAGCCAGGCATTCTGGCAGGTGCCTGTAGTCACAGCTACTTGGGAGGCTGAGGCAAGAGAATCACTTAATCCCAAGAATTTGGAGTTGCTGTGAGTTGCGATGCCACAGAATTCTACCGAGGGCAACAAAGTGAGACTCTGTCTCAAAAAAAAAAAAAAAAAGAAGGAAAGAAGGTATAGATGGGACATTTCTCAAACTGGTAGAGGCTGTCCCTGACAAACCCACAGCCAATATCCTACTGAATGGAGAAAAACTAAAAACACTTCTGCTTAGAGCTACACAAGGACATGGACTATTGCCATTATTATTCAACACAGTGTTGGAAGTTCTACCCAAGACAATCAGGCAAGAGAAGGATAGTAAGGGTATACAAATGGGGACACAGAAAGTCAAATGCTCACACTGCTCATGACATGATCTTACACTTAGAAAACCCCAGGAACTTAACCACAAGCCTTCTGGAAGTGATCAAGGGATACAATAAAATCTTGGGATACAAGACCAATGTCCACAAATCAGTAGCCTTCATATACACCAACAACAGTCAAGCTGAGAATCAAATCAAAGACACAATACCCTTCACAACAGCTTCAAAGAAAAGGAAATACCTGGGAATATACCAACACAGGACATGAAGGATCTTTATAGAGCAAACTGCAAAACTCTGAGAAAAGAAACAGCAGAAGCTGTTAACAAATGGAAGAACATACCGTGCTCATGGCTGGGAAGAATCAACATTGCTAAAGTGTCCACAGTACCCAAAGCAATCCACAGATTTAATGTAATCCCCATTAAAGTACTAATGTCATACTTTGAAGAACTTGAAAAAATAGTACTTCATTTCATATAGAATCAGAAAAAACTCTGAAAGCCAATGCAGTTTTAAGAAATAAACAGTAAAGTCTGGAGGCATCACATTACCAGACTTCAGGTTATATTATACAAGTCTACAGTGCTCAAATAGTGTGGCACAAAAACAGAGATACAGACCTATGGGATAGAGCAGAGAATCTAGAGATGAACCCAGCCACGTATTACCACCTGATCTTTCATAAACCAAACAAAAGCATATACTTGGGGAAAGAATCCCTGTTTAGTAAGTGGTACTGGGAGAACTGGTTAGCCACATGTAGAAGACTGAAACTGGACCTGTATCTCCTACCACTTACAAAAACTGACTGTCACTGTATAAAAGATTTAAATTTCAGATACAAAACATAAAAATTCTAGAAGAAAGTCTGGGGAAAACCCGTTTACAAAATCAGCCTGGGAAGAGCCCCCCCTTGGCAATTGCAGCAACATCAAAGGATATAAGAACTGAAGCAAACAGCCTCTAGAATGGGGGCATTCTACCAATCTGACAAAGGGCTGAAAACTAGAATCTACAGAGAACTCAAACTAGTCAGTAAGAAAAGAACAAAGAATCCTGTTTATAAGTGGGCAAAAGACTTCAACAGAACCTTCTCTGAAGAAGGCAGATGACTGGCCAACAAACCAGCTCATCGTTCCTCATCATCAGAGCAATGCAGATCAAAACCAGCCTGAGATATCACCAAATTCCAGGGAGAGTCGCCCACATCACAAAATCCAAAAGCTGCAGATGCTGGCGTGAATGTGGAAAAAAGTGAACACTTTTATACTGTCAGCGGGACTGCAAATTAACATAGCCTCTTTGGAAAAAAGTATGGAGAATCCTCAAAGACCTAAAAGTAAACCTGTTTGATCCCACAACCCCATTACTAGGTATGTATCCAAAAGAAAAAAAATCATTTTACCATGAGGACATCTGTACTGGAATGTGTACTGCAGCTCAATTCACAATCGCCAAGATGTGGAACAAACCTACATGCCCATCAACACAGGAATGGATTAGTAAAGTGTGGTAGATGTGTACAGTGGAATACTAATCAGCCATAAGAAAGATGGAGACTTTGTATCTTTCGTATTAACCTGGATAGAGTTGGAGAACACTCAAGAATGGAAAAGCAAGTATCCAACCTACTCAATACTAATATGAAGCCAGGAGATAAACAACTACATGCTCAGAGGAGAGAAAAACACAAATCCAAATGGGGGCGGGAGAGAAGGACGATGGCCAAGGTGTGCACTGTGAGGGCAGACAGCACAGCCCCAGGTGAAGGCTCAACCACAACTTGAACTTTACTGAAGAAATGCACACAATGTATATTCTAATCATCTGTACCCTCGTAATCTGAAATTAAAAGAAAACCAAGGCAGTGCTCACTCCTACCAGGCACTATTCTAAGTGCTTTATGAGCATTCCCAGAGAATGCCCTCAACAACCCAGTGAAGTAGATACTATTGGCATTTCCATTTTCCAGAGAGAAAACTGAAGCTCAAAGAAATTAAAGAGTTTTCAAAGCTATACCATTCATAAGTGACGGACCCTGGATTTGGCTGGTGGTCCACACTGGGCCTATACTGGGCACTGGAGGAATAAAATGAGAGAGAGAGATGGGTGTGTGGCATGTGGGGTCAGAGGGACAGGCACACTGCAGTTACAACACTTTAAAGCACATGCTTTAAGACTGACCTACTGGGGATACCACGGGAACGCAGGTCTTCATTTTCCTCTGAGCTTGGTCCTCACAAGCACAGAGGTAAATAGAAGACAATGTAAAACACACACACAGAGATTCCCTGGCATGAGGCATTCACGGTCAGGAAACTCTGCAACACACTGCTGCTGGGAGCTGCAGAGCAGAAGTCACGCAGGCTGGCAGGAGGGCGGGAGCCAGCTCAGGGGCAGGAGGCACACTGCAAACAGCAGGGAAGGCAGGGGACCCTGGGCACCCACAGAACCGTGAGACGTCCCATGTGCACAGAGCCCAGAGAGCACGAGTGGGTGCACACAGGGCCTGGGAAGTGACCACTAAAGGGGTCTGAGAAAACCATGCAGGCTGCCTGGGGAGGGACCCACAGGCCACAAGGCACAGTTCTCATCCCCTTCTGTTGGAGGAGTGATGCTGGCCGACTCCCAACTCCAGCAGGAGTGCAAATGCACACCACCAGGGAGTGAAGGGTATGGCACAGCCACTGAAGCAAGAATGGTGACAGGTCAGAATGGGGCGACGCCATCAGGGATGATACAAACATTTGACACTACTGCAGCAAAATGTTAAGCTTTGCCAAAGCTGGGCAGTGAGGACATAGTTTTT